TATATATACAAAGCTACCCGAGAATGATAACAGAAACTTATTTCTTACAACTTGGGAGGCTGGGAAGTGCAATGAGAAGACAGCAGCATCTGGTGCCTTTCCAGGGCCCTCTTGCTGCTGGGTCGTCACATGGCAGAAGGCAGACAGGCAGAAAGCACAATTGCAATGTGGTGGGCGCAGAGCTGGGGAGAGCAGAGCCACCCCTGCAAGCCCATTCATCAGGCCCCTCCCTCAGGGCCCCGAGCAGCTCCCTTCAATCTGCCTCTCAGCATGGATGCATCAGGGACCAGGTTTCCAACACCTGAATTTTGAAGGGGACAAAGACATTCGCAGCCCCACTAATTAATACAACACACCGAGTGTGTTCAGTTCCTCCATAAGGGGATCGCTTTTTCTTTCTAAGGGACACAAATCCAGCCTCACTTGCCTCACTTTTAAGCAGCTCACAGATTTACAGCTGCCAAGCTGCGCCCTTGAGGCTCCATCCGCTTTTCCTGGTTCTTGACAGTGAGCTTCTTCGTGAGTTTCTGTAAAACCATTCATTTTCCCAGGTAATATATTTACTGGGGATTGACAGATAAAAGCCACCATAAATACACTTATCCTTAAGACACTGCCTCTGCTTTTAAGTATGCTTTGCAGTAAAGAAAAATATGAGTAAACTAGAAAGATACTCACAAGGGAGAGGAGCAAGGAAGGACATTTCTTTAGCTATGAGGAGTGTTAGGTATTCCAAAGCCCCCACAGAACAAGCTCCCTCCCCCTTCTCCCTGTCCTCCTCCCTAAAGGAGAACAGGGACTTTCTACATAACTAAGGCTTGACCCCTCCTAGTTAATGACCTCCTACCGAGTTAGGGGCTTTTCTGCCCCACCGGTTTCCGGACCAAATGTTCCCTTAAGATAGAGACCTCCTGGAGCTTGTCACTTCTCCCACCAAATGTCCCCGTAAGATAGTGACTTCCTGGAGCCTGTTTTTTCCATCCCCCAACCAGAATTTGTTGCTGTATGCCCTAACCGCAGTCCCCCACCCTCATCAAAGGACTACATGCTCTCCCACATGCAAAGACCCCATATAAGCCTTCAGCTCAGCTCATGCTACGGCTGGTCTCCACTTTGTGAGTCAGCCCAGCAAGCTGCAGACTGCCACCCCAATAAAGCTGGCTTGAATACATGTATGTCCCTTCCTTTTGGCAACCCTTTCAAGGAGCAGCTGGTTTAATCTTGGAGAGCCAAAGGACTGACGCCGTGTGAGAGCTGAGGATAGAGAAGCGCAAGGCTGAAGACAGTAATGAATGAGCCTGAACAGAACCAGAGAAAACGTGTGGGAGGGAGGGAGGGGCGCAGACACTGAGCAGGGTCAGCAGGAATGGAGCAAGGGCTGTGCTGCAGAGAGCAGAGGCGAGGCTGGGAGCAGGGGCAGGTCACAGGAGCTGCAGGCCCTCAGAAGGAGTTGGGCTTTACCCAAAGAGCAATGCGGAACCATGGCAGGGTGCGAAGCTGAGAAGTGCCACAGTTAGATAAGACTTGGGGGTATCTGAGGTGGCTGGAAAGTGGAGAGTAGACTGAAGGGAGAGGGGACTCCCAGGCACAAAGTGGCCTTAAGGGTTTCAGTGAACGTGGGAAGAGGTCGGGAGAATTGTAGAAAACGTTCAGGTCCGTGCTTAATAGGACTTGGTGACTGGGCACACAGATAGAAAAACCAGCAGTCACGCCGAGAGAGGCTTCAGCAAGTGTGGTGGATCCATTCACGGATAGAAGAAACTAGAAAAGGATGGGCTGATACCTTACTAAAGCAATGGATCTATGATCTGTCTGGGTTTCTGCCAGCAATGTTTCCACACGCGGCCAAGTGCCTGGATCTAGCTCTCGGGAGAGATGTGTAAGCTGAGCCACCTCTGCCAACCCTCCTGTTACAGGGATCTTTTCACTCTTCCATTGGCGTTCTCTGCTGCAAATGTGTTTCCAGCAGTTAGTCCTGCCCCTTGCAGAATATCTAAACACCCCATCTCTTTATGACATCCGTAGTCACAGTGCTTAGCAACCCAGAATTTCTGCTCTCCCCATCCACCTCCAGTACACACACCTGCCTCCCAGTCCCATGGAGCAGCCACTTCCTGTACACTCTAATTCAAGTTCAGGCCCTGGCTCCAGCCAAGGTGCAGACCCCAAGTTCCCTTCCACGTCTGAGTAGGGATTTTCTTCCACAAGCTGTGGCCAAGCAAAGAAAGCATTTCCACCTGAAAGTGACATCAGTCATCCATTCACTGGGAGACGCAAAATGGTCTCCCCGCCAAAGAGCAGGTGCACCCCAGCCCTCCTGTTGAGCTCTGCCCCCAGAGGCCTAGGATAATCTAAATCAGCCTTCCTTCAGCCGAAGCCAAATCCCCACCAAAGAGTTACATGAGTTCATCTGCTTTCCTCATCAGCCTACCTGTAGCCAACCCTCCGCTCTCCACAAGGATGGGAACCAGCAAAGGGCCTCAGGGCTCTCCCTCAGTTGTGCCAGGCCTTATATTTGCTTCTCTGATATACATTTCTGAGAACCTGTTATGTGCCAGGCTCTGCGAACAGACTCTCATATACAAAAAGCACAGTGAAGTTACCCTCTCTGCAATGAAAGGCTTGTTCTTCGGAGAGGGATAAAGAAGCATAACATATAGCACAATACACCATGTTCAGCCATATCTTTTAAACGCTAGGGGAACATAGGTGAGGAAGTGCTAAATCCTCTCTAGAGTGACCGGAGGGGAGGTTAGGAGAGTGGGGGAAGTAAGAGAGAACTGAAGTCAGAGAGAGGGCAAAGAAAGCAGGAAATGAAGGCACTATGAGGATGAGCTCCAGGCTGTGGGAACCAGAAAGCCCTGAACGTCAGCACTGTCATCTTCAGGCACAGAGCCACCCAGAGTGAGTCCCGAGGACCGTGGACAGATGCAGTCCATGCGGTGAAGGCCAGGACAGAGAATGACTTTAGCAAACTTGGCCTCTGCGTGACACCACGCAGGTGGGCAATGGGCGTCAGGTCGGAGGGCGTCCAGATGTGCTCACCCCACGGGGGACTCTCGTGTGGTCGGAGCTGGGAGACAGCACTGATCTGAGACAAACTGAAGTTGGAAACAATACACTGTAGATTTATTATAGAGGATTCGAGAAGCACTGACCTCACATGTCTGCTTGGCATCATATGGGAAACTGTTCATCTGGGCTGTTTTTCTGAGGCCAAAGCCCACAGCTTTTATCAAATCCTCCCATGGAGACTTGACCAAAAGATGAAGAGCAATTGCCTTAGGGCCTGTGAAGAAGGGGACCACATGAGTTCTTCTGAGTGCCCCTTGGACACCAGGAGTGCAGAGCAGCCCTGCTCAGGGGCGGACACCACCACTCAGCCACATGAAGATGTTCTTATCTGGAAAAACAAAACAAAGTTCCCCTGGAGGGAAATGGACAGGAATTCAATTCAACAGTAGTTTTATCTCACACGGAGTATGCAGAGGAGGGGTGGAATTTATTAGAGAACAGAAGGGGGTGAGGAGTGGCAGTATTCTAAGGGAGGGGGCAGGGAAGGGTCTAATTACAGTGTCACTCAGAGATGTCCTGGTTTCAGTTCCTCCAGATGAGCACTGAGTACAAGTGTTGTCGCCTGGAAACACCAGCAGGGTGTGGGAAGTGGGACAAGGAAGGAAGGCAGACAGCAGGGTAGTTCTCACCAGGGAGCCGAATCCTGTGGGGCATCCTGAAGTCAGCATAGACCCCCACTCAGAATGAGCCCAACAAGGGGAAAGGAAACAGTTACTTCCGTACCAATGTGTGCCAGCCATTGGTGAGGGCCACCTGCATGTGGGCAAGTGGGCTTCGGCCTCCTCAAAGCTCTCCTAGTCGGCTGCACGTTGAGAAGTCAGTCATTACAATGGCAAGGGAAGGCAGGCAGGGCCAGGACAGTGCTCCTGCAGGGCCCTCAGTCTTTTTAATTTTTTAAATATAGTTTGAGATAGGATCTCACTAAGCCTCTGAATTGCCCAGGCTGGCCGAAACTGAATGCTCCTCTTGCCTCAGCCTTCCAGAGAGCTAGGATTATGGGAATGTGCCCCTTGCCCGACTGGGCCCATGGTCTTTAAATGCCCAGCACATTCGTTTCTTCTCTTGGTCTCTACTTATTCATCAGCCAACTGTTTTCCAGGCAGAGCCTCATCATCCTAACACAGAACATTAGAAGAGGGAGTGGCCTCGGGGATTATTTGATCCAAAATTGAACATGCATAAAGATGATGGAGGAGCTATTTACAATTGCAGATTGTTGGGCCTGGCCTGCAGAGAGAAAGTGCATCCCAGAAATTTGCATTTTATCACCTCAGTGATATTTGCACTGCACTTTGAGACTGGATTCCATCCAATCCTCTCAATTTATAAAGAGATCAAGATTCAAATCTGGTGGTAATAACACATCTACAGTGTTTTAGACAGTTTTCGTGCCTTTCTGTGCCTTCACTTTTCTCTCTGCCAAGATCTCCCTCCCCTGCCTCCTGGCTGCCTGGCCAGTCCTTCCTCATTCTGAAGCCCGGGTTCCGGCCTGGCTACCTAGGAGGAATTTGATACCTGTCTCTGCTGTGCTCACTCAATGTTGAGGCACCTCGGTGTGGCTGTCACTGTATTTCCTTGTAATTGTTTTCATATCGCCCATATCTCCCACTAGAACGTTTCTGAGCTTAAGATTTACAATTTACACATATTTTATCTCCAGTGAGCAATGTAAATGCTTCCCTGACCCCAAAACATAGATCTGCTTGACTCAGCTGGGTCACAGGACTTTGTACCCATCCGAGGACAGGGGACTTAACCCGAACTCTGCCCAGCTTAGTGGCATGCTCAGTCCTGCAGCCGTGGGGTCAGGAGAAGACACCAGGATGGGAGACTATGGACACTCCCTACAGGAACAGTGGGGTGCTGTCCCCCAAGAGAGAGGCAATCCTGTGTGTGAAAATCAAGAGCTGTCCACAGAGCCTGTTCTACCTACTTAGGAAATGATGGCACTGGCTTTAAAGAACTGCTGAACACAGGGCCAGGGATTTAGCTCAGTGGTTCCGTCGCCTGCCTCACAGGCACAAGGACCGGAGTTCGATCCCTGGTACCAAAAACAAAACAGAATTGCTGAACACACAAGGCTCTCTATGAACCTGTGTCAAGCCATCTTCAATCCTTTCTCTCAAAGGAAGTAGACATAGCTTTGCTGGTGTGAAGAGAACAGGGAGAGGATCACAGACGGGGCAACTGAGACATTTTTTCCATGGGTGGAAGATTAAGATACTTACTGCACACCCAGAGAATCTGTAAATATCTGGATTGGACTTCTACCCACCCAGCTATAAAACTGTCAACAATGTGATATCATTTATATTCCTTTTGGAAGCATTGTTTATAATTGACTCTACTTGCTGGCCAGCTTCCTTTTATTGTACCAATTTCAAAGTTTTATCATTTCTCATTCATCTTTCAGCTTTCTTGGGAAGTCTAGCAAGTGCATTGTGGGTTAAAGGAAGGCTCAGTTGGTTCCCAAAACTTGCGAACGGGCAACCATCTGTGATTTGTGTTCTGGCTCCCTTTCCGCAAAGCAGATGCCTGTCGTCCTCTACCTCACTGCTGTGCGGGCTCCAGACAGATACAGCAGACTCCAAGAACACCATGGAATAAGCTTCTTGTCTCTCTGCCTTCTGTGCCCAGGATTTTAAAGAGAGAACAGGCGTCCCTTAGTCCTAATGTGCTTTGGGCAACTGCCTGAGAACAGGGCCGTCCTCCGTCCTCCATTCCGGCTCAGGGGCAGGCTCCTGTGTGGGCCTTGGCACACAGAGGGTACGTGTTAGGTACAAGAGTAGAAGTATAAATGGATGAATGATCCCAGAAAGAATTCTTGTTTGTTTGGTTTTTGTTTTGGTACCAGGGATTGAACTTAGGTCCTTGCACTTGAGCAGCAGGCAGCAGAACCACTGAGCTAAATCCCCGGCCTCCTGAAATAATTCTTTACAAAAGAATTAGATAAGAACCAAAAGCATTCTACAAGTTGACTAAACTCACATCTTCAAGGGTGGTCATAACACATACACAAGTACGATGCAACAGCAGCTCCAGGTGTGACTAGTAAGCCACTCAAGGTGTTAGTGAAATCATTTTCTGTTTGTTTGGTTATGTATATATCTTCCTGGTACTGAGAACTGAACCCAGGGCCTTCACACTGAGCTACGTCCCCATATGTTGGTATTCGGTTTGGCTTCCTCGAGACAGGATCTCACTGAGTTGCTAAGTTGCCCAGGCTGGGCTCAAACTTGCCATCCTCCTGCCTCAGCCTCCCAGAGTGCTGGGATCACAGGCGTGGCCGCCACACCCAGCTGTTAGTGAAATCTTAGGGAGTGAAGGTAATAACTGATGTGACTGCACACACGTCTTCTCTCCTAATTCACTGTCTACTCACTTCGGGCCTGAGCGAGAGGCCGCTCCTCCCAGCCCAGCTCAGATGGGAGCTGACTGCAGTCACGTGCATCAATGAGGTCACCACACAAAGTTCCTTCTCTTCCCCTTTTTATCTTGTTAGCTTTTTATATTTTAAAACGTGGCATACTCTCTAGAGAAAATCCTCAATCAAATGGAAATAAATAAAGGTAGGAAAACATAATTTACTCATCTTTCTCACTCAGTAAATGATTCTGAGGGCTGCTCTAAGTGCTGGCGACAGAGCAGGGAAGTCCACCGAGGGGAACTGCAGACACAAAGGCTCAAAGGCAGGGAACAGGACCGGGACGGTAAAGGAGGCCGCATGCCTGGAAGGTAAGCATTAATCACCAAAGGCCGCTGAAGGGAAGGTGGGGGCCCTAGACCGCTGGAGAGATTCTGGGTTTTACTGTAAAGACAGAGCTACAGGATTGGGAGCCATGGATGAGCTCGCTTTACCTTTAAAAGCATCCTTTTGGAAGCTGTGAAATTGTAGGGCATAAGGGTAGAGAAAGGGTTTCTGCTTTAAAAATATTAGAACAGGGGCCGGGGATGTAGCTCAGTAGCACCGCGCCTGCCTTCCAAGCATAAGGTCCTGCATTTGATCCCCAGTACCGGGAAAAAAAAATATTAGAACAGTCCAGAAGAAAGGGCAAGCCATTCATGACTTGGACCAGAGTGCAGCCATGAATGGACAAACTCATGAATGCCCATAAAGGCCTGGCAGTGCAGGGAGCAAGGAAAATCCTCATTATTCCACAGATGCTATTTCTAGTGTTTTCTTAGTGTTGTTATTCTCCTATTTTATCATGTGCCAGAACCAAGGCACAACTCATCCAGGTGTAGCACTGGCTCTTTGGGGCCTAAAGGATCCTGCCACTTACCCTTGTGGCATCCCTAGGTATAATTTTGGCTATTTAGAATCCTTTTCTGATAATGACCTGTTAACCCTCATGTCGTTAAGACTGGATGTGTGTACACAGAGTACGCGGGTGAGCAGCCTTACCCAGCAGACACAGCAGCCATCTGCCAGCACCAGGTGCTGCTGGGCTTCACACACTCATATCCCCCACTCAGTTCTTCATGGTGATAAAGTTGGTATCAAAAGCCTTCCCACAAAGAAAACTTCAGGATTTATTGCTAAATTTTATCAAATATTTAGGAAAGGAAAGAAAAGATACCAATCTGACTCAAATGCTTCCTGAAAATACAGGAGGAAAGAATGCTCCTCCAACTCACAGGGCGAGGCCAGATGACCTGCTACCGAAATCCAGAAAGAGTTCTCAGGGGCCAGAGTGTACCTGGTACCCCCCGTGCGGGCTGTGCGTGTGTAGGTACCATTGCTGTCTCCTTTCCTTGCAGAAGATAAGGAACTTTCCCAAAAGCACCAAGCTGAAGAGCAGCAGAATTCGCCAGACTCACAGATAAAATGAGTCACTTCTGGTTTTCTTCAGCACAATAAGGTGGCTATATTGGACAGAACAACCTAATACCTTTCAAAATGTGGAGGGGGAAAGAAATCATGAAACTCCCAACATATAAAAATGTCTAGTGATTGAAAAGGTAGAAATGCTTTTACCCTGATTTGATTAATATACGTGCATGGCTTGGATCCGGATGCCTCCCCAACCTTGAGCATGCATAGGTGGAGCCTTTGGAGCTGACTGGATCTGGGGGCTGTGAATATGGCTCAAGAATGTGATCACTACTGTCTGCCACACAGTGCTGCAAGAACATGAAGCATGTGGCACACAAAGGAGCATCCCACAAGTTGTCCCTGGAACCAGACTCTCCCTGTCTGCAGATGAAGATGCAGTTGTCTTCACCAAGATCGGCCAGCTTTGAAACTGGTGGTGACAAAAGAAAAAGAGAAGAAAGTGGGACTGTGTACAGGTTTTTTTGTGTTTTTTTTGGTACCAGGGATCAAACTCGGGTCCTTACGCTTGCATAGCAGGCAGCAAAACCACTGAGCTAAATCCCCGGCCCAGGACTGTATACAATCTTTGTAAATCTTGCTAATGCCCATCAGTATGCAGTGGGTGGACAAGATCAGTTTGTAAGAATTTTTGACCAGAGGAAAATTGATGAGAATGAGAACAATGGAGTACTCAGGAAAGTCTGGCCTCATCACTTGGTGAACAGTGAGTTCAAAGCAAACATCACCTGTCTTGTGTACACCCACAATGGGACAGAGCTCCTGGCCAGTTACAATGCTGAAGATATCTATCTCTTCAACTTCTCTCACAGTGATGGGGCCCAATATGTTAAGGGCCACAGAAATAATGCCACAATAAAAGGTGTCAATTTCAAAAAAAAAAAAGAATGTGATCCCTAAATTAGTCCTCTGGTTGGCTTAGCCTGGTTCTGGGTGTGGATAATGGAAGCCCCACACTGGTGTGGGTGACACCACCCAATAGGCTTCTATCGTGGATGGGATAAAAGGGAAAGGGCTGCTGCTGCTGTTGCTGCTTTGCTGCTTCCTGTCTACCCTGCCATGGACTGTTTCTCTTCTGCGATGCCCCTCTGCCATCCACCCTGCCTTGCAGCAGCTGACTATGAACTGAAACCTCCACACATTGTAAGATAAAATAAACCTTTCCACCTTTAACTTGTGGAGGTTGGGTATTTTATCCCATCCTGGAGAAAGTAACTAAGATATATACATTGTGTACATTTGATGAATCACCATAATGGACCCCATAAAGATGTACAAATTTTAAAAGTAACAACTAATATTTTTCATTTTTTAGGAAGCCAAAGCTAAGAATGACGGGTAATTCAGTCAATAACGTGAAGAATTCGGTCTCTCTCCTTTATGCTCAGGAGACCTGTGTCATTTCTTTTCTGCAGAGAAAAGTATATCAAAAAGTATATCAATCCCAAAGGAAACTTGTAGTACTTGTAGTACTACAATCAATGAAAACACCACCATTTATCTTAGCACTAGAAAAATAAGTACCAATTTCTTAACCTCCTGTGACTTCTTTTGACTCTCTGCAGGGAAGCCATGTAAGCCTTTTTGCCAAGCCAGGCACTAGGGCAGAACCCTGAACTCTGCGTAGGCTGCGTCACACATTGTATAATCTTGGACAACTCCCTAGGTCTCAGTTTTCTCGGCTGTAGGAAGAATTTATACTCCAAGGTGCTGTCTCACTCTCACTGAATATAACCTGCTCTCTGAGCTTGCTGGCCCACTTTCTCCCCTCCACTACAGTGGCCAACCACAATCTAAATGTGTGAAATCACTCGTAACCTTCATGGGAAAAAAGAATTTGACTCAACTATAGAATGGCTCCTATTTATGTTGTACATACATTTTTCTCCCACAGAATTGCTATCAAAATTATAAAGACCAAACGAAGATTCATCTTATTTCATCTTCCTTTATGTTTTGGCAACAACTTCTTACTATTAGCTGAAATTGTCTCGTGGTTTGAGTGATTTTTCTCCTTTCCTCCCCATGGGGTGACTTTATTTCCCACTGTGGTTTAGGAAGAAAGAGGAAGGAAATCATAATTCCACTTATCAGGCAGATGCTGGCTCTTAGTCAGCAATGAATTCCAGATTGGTATGCAAAGAAAGGAGCTGTCCTTGCAGAAAAACCTTCCCCCTTCCACTAATCCCAGGACTTTAAAGCCTTTCATTGCTCAAGTTCAGAGGACTCTCACTCTTCGGAAAATGAACATATGTAAAACAGGCTTGCACTGAAATTACAGATTTGGGAACTTGGAAGGGACTCGGAGATCATGTGGCTCAACAATGCTGTACAGATGAAGAAAGTAAGATCCCAAGCCACGCAGCTGAGATGCGGCAGAGCTGGGAGGGACACAGGCTCAAACTCCTAGGCAAGGTGGGGTGTCCAAAACAGCCTCTCCGAGGTCCGATTTGCTGGGCTTCTTCCACTCAGGTGCCTCTCTTTGGCCTCAGGTGTTTCATCTGGAAAATGAATTCCTTGTAAGGTGACTCTGAACAGCAAGTGAGATACAACTGTGGGTCTCAAACTGGAAGTCTTCCCACACCCTGGTCCAGGAGTGGGGACGTAAATTCTGACTTCTAACAATCCCTTAGGTGCTGCCACTCCCTTAAGTAAACAAGTGTGGCTTTGACGCAGATCATCAGTCAAGGCCCTGAGTCCAGCCCAGCCTGTGTCAGAGCTGCTGCCCCTGCTGCATGGGGCTGGGCCTGGGGCTGGGAAGTGGACACCTTGGACCACACAGGCTGCCGTGAGGAACTCTGTCGTCCACACTCCTGTAAACCACTCTAACTCACACCTGGCCTCACTGTGACACTGACCTTAGCCCTGAGCAAACAGCCAGAGAAGAGGGGAGAAATAAGGAGACTCAGGGAGAGAGTGAAACAAGTGAGAGCAGCACAGGACACAACATTCAACTGTCCTGTGGCTAAGCAGGCAGCCCACTCTGCCTGAGGGGTGATGGATGCCCTGTGTCCCCGCCAGACTCCAGCCCCAGGGAGACGGCAGGCACAGGAGGTGACTAGGGTTACACGGGGCCAAAGGACAGGAGACAGGAGAGCCTGAGAGCGGGCTCCTCCCTCCCGCCCCTCCCATCCTCCCGCCCTCCGTTTCTCTCTCCACCAGGTAAGGACAGAGCGCGAAGGCAGCCACCTTCAAATCCAGTTGGGAAGCAGGTCCTCCCGACACTAACCTGGGGCACCATCTCGGATTTGTCAGCTCCTAGAACTGTAAAAACTTAACGTCTATGTTTTAACCCCTCCAGTCCAGGAGTTTGTTACAGCAGCATGACTCGGCAAAGCCAGAGGGGAAAGTATTCTCTAGCCAGGATAGATGGACGTCTGGGGCTTTGAGTTCTCAGCTCCGGGCAAGTGCAAGCACAAAGTAAGCATCGCCACCTGCCAGTGCGGCCGGACGGACGGGACGGGGCGTGAGCCGCGGTGAGGGAGCCGCACAGCTGTCTAGCCTCGCCTGTCTTCCAGTGGTGATTTCCTGGGGAGGGCGCTGCCCTGGGCTTCACTTCTGCAGCTCTTAGGCTGAACTGTGGTCTGCCACGGCAACGACCTCTGAATAGTGCCGGAGGTCAACAAGCTGTCCCCACAGCGAGCCACATAATAAATAGTTTAGGTTCTGGGGGCCACACATAGTGGCTGTCACATATTCTTTTTATTATTTCTAACTTTTTAAAAGTGTAGAAACCATTCTTTCCTCTGAGACCATACAGAAAGTACACTGCAGGCTGGATTTGACTCCGTAGTTACTGTTAGGTACTTCAGAGCACAGAGTAAGCCCCCTCCTCTCCTTTCCCCTTGTCCCACTCCGGCCACAGGGAACAGGGAACTTCCGCATAACTAAGGCATGACCTCTCTTTGTCAGTGACTCTCTGCCTAGTTAAGGACTTTCTGCCCCACCAGTTTCATGGTCAGATGTTCCAGTAAGAAAGGGGCTTCACGAAAGCAGTGACTCCATCCCCTGGACCGAAACCTGTTGCTACATACCCCAGCCCCAATCACGCACCCCCACCAATGGCCTAGTGCTCTCCCACCTGCAAAATCCCATATCAACCCCCAGCTCAGCCCATGCAGTTGCTGGTCTCCATTCTGTGAGTCAGCCCGGCAGGCTGCAGACTGCCGCCCCAATAAAGCTTGCTTGAAAGGCCGTGTGTGCCCCCTTCGTCGGGAACCCTTTCAGTTAATAGCAAGGTTTCTGTATTGAAACTGAATAGTTTCATAATCCCAGCTCCCTCCACCCATCAATCGAGTCCTCCCACATAATCACTCAACTCCCCTGTGCCTCAGTTTCCTAATCTGTAATAGGCAGATAGTAGTAGTTGGATTGAAAGGACTGAGTACAAGTAAAGCATTAGAATGGCGCCTGGAACGTGTGTGTATACTTACTGTTCACAGTGGAGAACTCTGTCCATGTTACACACAGTATACATAAGTGCACGTGCACGGGAACAGCTGTGGGACTCGGTGACTTCCACCTCCTCTCCTTGGGGGCCAGTGTGCTTCTAAGGGAAAGAAAACTCTATTCTGATGTCAGTCAGCCTCTTCTAGAAAGCTCTGAAGAATTTTGCCTGTGTTTCCTGCAGTGCCTGAGCCCTACCTGTGTAATCAACCACAAATTAGGTGACGGGCAGACAGAACATCATTGTTGCGTGTATGAAATGAAATAATGTGTAAACAAAATGATTTGTGAGTGCATCTTGGAGAGAAGGAAGCCTGTCATTGTTTCATTTTGTTTATTTCAACCCATTAATGTGGCTTCGGGCCACATGCTTGGCCCAGCAGCACAAGTCTGGGTCAAGTCCACTTCAGATACATTTTCCAGTCAAACACATGCCCTCCCCTACCAGACCATCTCAGACAGATAACAGCTTCTCTCAGTATAAACCCTGGGAAGCTGCTGGAAAACCAGATTTGGAGATAAACCAAATCATCGGTGAGTTCGAGAGCAAGCATGCCACGGTGTGTGCCCCATACACTTACATGGCCCCAGTCACCTCAGGAGCACCGTAAGCTGTGAGGCTCGGGGCTGCACAGTGCAGAACCAGAGGATGAACAGGCCCCGGGCTGGACAGAGCACGGGATGCCCACCATTGCCTCTCTCAAAGTCCTGCCCAGACTCTTAGGACCCACGGTCAAAAGCAGCCTGACTGTCGCCATTCTGTTTGGATTATCAAATGAGGCTGACAGTTCTTGAGCACCCACCATGTGCTGGCAGCACAGAGTAGCTGGGCACACTCACAGTGACCTGGGCAGCACATACCATCCACTGTGTCGCAGGTCGCGTTAGGCCCAGAGGCCTCGGGTTCATGTGTTGGAAGCAGGACCCTCAGAGCGGCACAGGTGAGGTGGGGGAGCCACCTCAGAAGGGGTTACAGGAACTCTTCTGGGACCCCTGAGGTCTCACAGAGCAAGCCTGGCCATGCAGCCACTCCCTACCCTGACTACTGTGCGACATGGTCACCACTGCTGAACACACTCCGACCCCAAGCCCTGAGCCCTCACCCAGCCTGCCCTGTGCTGTTTGAGCCAAGGGAAAGTAGTCTGCCTTCAGCATTTCCTTAGAGCAATGAAAGATGGGCAAATGCAGGCCCAGAGTCACAAGTCCTGGAGAAGACTTGGACCCAGGCTGGCTCTCTCCTTGACACTACCCTTCCGCTCCAGCTGCCACAATTCTGAGCCTTTGCCAAGGATCCACTGTGGGTGTGTGTCCTCATTACTTTTCTCTTGTAGCTGACACAAATACCTGACATCCAAAGTTTGCTCACAGAGGTTTCAGTCCATAGTCGACTGGCTCCAAGGCAGAGTGGCACCGGCAGAGGGCAATAGTCCATGCAGACAAAAGTAGCAAAGCACCCAGGGCCTTAGCAGCATGTTTCGGAGCCCTCAGGGCGGGTGGCACTCACACCCTTAATCCTAGTGCCCGAGACCCCAGCACTGCGCCATGATTCAATCCCGCACCACATTCTGCATCCAGCTGCCTGGAAAAGGCCCAGCTGTGACTCTGTGAGGCTGGAGGCACCCAGACACAGCCACACCAGTGCAGGACTGTCCTAGAGCCTGGGAGCGAAACAGGAAGACCACAAGTGTGTAAGAGCATGCAGGCTCTCGAGCGCTTCTGTTCTTTACAAAGTAGAACATTAATTATTATCACTTGATAATTAAGTGAAATTAATTCTTACACTTGCCACAGTAGTCAACGATGGCATTTTCAAAGCACCCCTCTCTCAGTTATGTGTCACACGTGTTTTGGGAAATGTGGTCAGCTTAAGCGCCTGCCCTTAGGAAGTTTTCACTGCTACAGGAATGCAGACAGGTAAGGCCTCCGCACAACACAGAGCTGCAGGATGGCTTCAGTTAAGGAGGAGAGCCATCGACTCTGAGACTCGGCGACTAGACTAGCTGAGACAAGACACACAGAAGGAAGTAGCCTGGACCGCTCACTGGACACACATCCCTTCCTGGCCCCATCAGCTTCCGGGGGTGCTCTCCACCTGTACCCCACAGGTGCACTCTGCCTGATGAGGTGAAGAACTTGTTTGACAGCAGCACACCTCAGACTTTACTCCACATGCAAATCACCAAGGGATCTTGTTACAATGCAGGTTCTGATTCAGAAGGTCCTGGATGGAGCCTGAGAATTTTAACATCCAAGCTACTCCCCAGCGTTGTCAATGCAGTTGGTGTACTCCTACTTCAAACAACAAAGATCCACAGGCAGCTTGCTGCTACAAAAAGCAACAAACAAAACTCAAGATATCTTGGTCTCACTCATGATGAAACTTCTCACTGTGCTGACATTTATCGGAAAAGGATTTCTTAGGTATACTCCTTTCCTAAGGAATACAGTATGTATCTTATGGTTTTCTTATCTGTCCAGTAGTCGAGATCCTTCTTGCAGCCAAACTTAAAAGAATTTGTATTTTCCCATTCATTGGTCCTTTCAGTTAACAAGTATTTTGCTGAGTGCCTACAATATACCAGGTATTGAATTAGATGCCAAGGATACAAGATGAACAAAAACCAACGTCATCTCTGCTCATTCTAGTGAGAGACAGAAAGAAATAAAATTGGGCCAGGGATTTAGCTCAGTGGTTCTGCAACCTGCCCTGCAAGCACAAGGACCCGAGTTCAATCCCGGGTACCAAAAAAAAAACCACACACACAGAAAGAAATAAAATTAGCACAAATAAAATTGTAAATGCATGAGAGTGAAATTCTAGGCATAAAAGAGGAATTTTTCTAGAAAAAGTGATGATCAGGACACAATAAGGTGAAGATGCTACAGTTTAGGGGATAAAAAGGAATCCCTAGGAAGAGGTATGCGGGAGAGTCCCGGGGAAAAGGGGGTGTAGAAGACTGCAGGCCTGAGCACTGAAGAGAAATGCAAAGCAGGCTGGCCCTGGAGGTGGGGTTGGCCTGCACAGGGTCCCATCAGACAGGCTGAGTTCCCTAAGCTTAGGACACAGGAGCTTTTAAACTGCTTTTAACATGGGCAAGACACACCATCAGATTTATGTTCTAAAAATTCAACCTGCGAGCTGTGTAGACTTTATTTGGGACACCAGTGCTGGTCCTAAATACTCATTTAAGAAAGCTCTGACTAAATTACAATTAGTTTTCTTAGGAACAATCATACATTACCCTACTATACTTGTGCCAGTTCAAACACCTCTCGCTCCAACTCTGTCCTTCACTGCCTGCTCTGAAACAACGACGGTGACCCCTCAATCATTTGCCCCTTCAGGAAGTGCAGCGACAGGCACTCAGCGCAGACCACTGAGGGGCACCGCAGCAGGACCGGTTCCCTTCCAGCCTGGACTCTGGCCCGGAGGCTGCTGCAGCGCTTACAGCTTGCCTTGCAGTCAGTCACAGGGCGGGCACATTCCTGTGGCCTGCCTCCAACCCCACCAAGGGTCCGTGGGCACACGGAGGTACAGAACGGCCCTGGGACCCTGGCCCAATGCACAGGCGGGCTTCCACAAGCTGATCAGCACAGCCCCCGCAGATGCTGCATCCTGGGGTCGCTCACGGCACCGTCTCCCTTGGGTCCAGACCTCACCACTGAGGAGGGAGGGCCTCCTCTGTGATGCTGTATGCCCACCACAGGGAACTATAAGATGTCTGCTATCCCTCTGCTTTTCAGAGTTGTCTGTACCTCTTACCAGCCAATCTTCCCATTTTCCCAATATCCTATGAACAACGCTTATATTGAAATTTTCTTTTTCACATTAGTGTGTGGCTTGTCTTCTTTTTGGACCTTGAGTTTTAAGAAATAAATCAAATAAATTTTTTTAATGTTTTTTTGAGACAGGGTCTCCCTATGTAGTTCACGCTGGCCTTGAACTCATGGCGATCCTCCTGCCTCAGCTTCTCAAGTGCTGGGATTATGGTCGCATGCCACCACACCCAGTTTAAATCAAATAAATTTTGATAGATTTGACTAGGGTAGAATTATTGCAGATAGCTAAGTTAGTTAGAAATTATAAGGCAGTCAAAGCTGGGCCCTCAGCATAGAAAAACAATTGAGGCACATTCACTGGTTAGCATTATAAAAAGAAAAGAGGGTTCCACCAGCCACCAGGACAGGATGAGGAGGACCCCCCACCCCCACCCCGCAGGCCCACAAACTGACAGCTGGGCCGTGCAGGCGCCTCCAACAATACTCCCCCCACCCCCGCCTCTGGCCTTTTGGCTGTGCAGCTACTTGGTTACACACTGAAGAGCCAGAGGGAGACAAAAGCCATTGTCAAGAGCTCCAGAGGTGAACAACAGAGAGAGTGACTGTCTCAGGCTCCCTGAGGAAAACAAGCCCACTGGAAAAGTGAAGGGAATCTCTGCAATAAAGGCACACCAGACCACCGTGATTGGTAAGTTGGAGGGATAATCAGCTCCCATCGGAAACTGGACTTTCTTCAGGGGAAAAGCAGCTGAAACCTGCAGTAGAAGCTTTCAGAGTGCAACCCTGCAGGAGGACAGGGAGCTCAACTTGGGACTTGCAACCAGAAATCTGCCTGAATCTTATGGGTCTGGGACTAGCTTACCGAGACTCATTGACTTATAACTGCACACTGCTGCCCACATGGTCTATTGTGACAGCAGAGACACACCTTGAAGGAGGCCCTTTATTTTTTAAAGGTGATAGATTAATAACTACCACAAATAGTCATTCTTTAAGAGGTATTTGATGCTATGGTGTTGCTGATTGTATGACTTTGGCTAAGGTGTCATGATTGATCTAAACAATTTTCCTTCCTGGTGTAATGAAAATGAGATAGCCTCAGAGTCATTAGAGACTCAAAACCTAAAGACCAGCTATATCTGGTAGACACCTCTGAGAAGCAATC